TTCAGAGAAAAAAAATCACAGTGCATTTAATATTAAAACTTCCATGGAACTGCCCATGACCTCAGCACATACCTTCTATCTAGGTCTCTCAGTGCCTACAAGGTCTGGTCTTACCACTGTTTTTCTATTGGTATCACTGTGTTTCTGAGTCGGTGATTTTTTTTCAATTTAATATAACCCCACATTGTTCTATTAGTTCCAGCCCTCTTTCCCCTGCCTCTGCTCTGTGAATGCAATTATAAGCTGTAAACAGATGTCACCTTTGTGCTGCCATAAAATTTTTTTATGGAGGCACAAAAGCTGAGTGAACAAATGTCACAGTGCTTTGTCATGCCACCAGTGCCCAAATTTGTGAGCATGACAACTCTAGGTAACAGCTTGTGCTGTTTTTTCATGGGCCGTCATCTATTTCAGGGGTGGGCAATTATTTCGGGCGGAGGGCCGCTTACCGAGTTTTGGCAAGCCATCAAGGGCCACATGACAGGCAGCCAGGGGCAGATAAATATTAACTTTCTAAATTTTTTAGGGGCCCTGCAGGCTGGATAGAATGGCCTGGTGGGGGGCTGCATTTTGCCCATCCCTGATCTATTTGCTTAAGGCAGGAGAGTATGGGCAGCCCAGAGCTGCCTCCACTCTCCAGCCAGCCCTGGCAGATACTTCCAGGGCTACAGGGGCCTGCAGGGAAATTCCCAGGGTTCATGTCTGCAGGTGCATGGTTTTTGTGTTTGCAGATGCATGCCTTAGGAATCCCCACTCCATGCCCCAATTCAGGGCACACCTCTGCAAGTTGGAAACCCCAGGTTCCACCACTTCCAAAGGAGCATGCCCCAGGAATCTCCCAGCAAGGGATTTCCTGGGCATGCATATCATGCTGCCATGCCATAATTCAGAATATGCCTCTCAAGTGTACAGCTTACCCTGCTTGCACAGGCACACCCCAAGTCAGGGTGTAGCACCTGGGGCCACTGTCTTGCAGGATAATGCCCCAGAAGCAGCAGGGGCTTGGTCCTGCAGGATAACCACCCCAGCAATGTCTGTAGATGCCACTGAAGTGGATCAGCTGGGCACATCCCAGCACAGCTGATCCCACTCTAAAGACTACATCTGTTTATAGCTACAGTGACAGAAAGGTGCCTTATAGCAGTACAGTTTACATTTCCTCCCTTTTGGAATAAACTACACTGAAATGTAATTCATACTAGGATAAACTCTGAAAGTTGTCCAGGTATGACTGTACCAGTATAGTTAAAGTTATAGTTAAAGTAGTACTGCTTGTGTTTAGATAACCCAAAGAAAACAGGAATAGTGGGCATCTGAGTAGCACACTCCAGCCCTACTCTCACAAGCTGGTTATGGAAGAAGTTCCAAGCAGTAAAGTAGCAGAGTTTCTACATGGGAATAAGTTCAGCTGAAGCTCTAGGATTAATCTATGGTGGACTACTCTCGAATACAAGCATATTGCTTTTCAACTTCTATTCTCTTTTCATTAAATGTTTTACTATTCTGTCAAAAAGAGTGATAATAATTTTCTTATTGCTGAACTGTATTTCTCTACACTTTAGGAACCTGTGAAAATTATTTTTTTTTCTATTAACAGCAAACTTCCTCATTTTGCAGTTAGGGTGGCTGCATTTCAGGTTTTGTGTAGACAGATGGTCATTATTCTGATTAATTGAAGAACATATGCATGCATAAGATTTCAAATGAAAAATGTATGTATTGCACAGAAAATGGCTAGCCAGTATAAAAGTATAGCAGTAATTTTCTTACAAAGTTTACAAAATATAATTCAATTTGTTATTATATAACCATTATATGAACAGGAAAGTGAAAGGTATGATTAATGGCACTTCATGGTCTTAACAAGATGCTGACTGACTCAAACATATGCTACATACCTTTTATCAGTTCATAAATATTCATGTCCATAAGTTCACATATTAGTGCAAGAGAGCCAGATTTTTTATCACTGAAGAAACAAATAGAGAGTTTTTGAGAATGAAATACAATTTTTTTTATTTATTCATGGACTACAGAAAAAGTACTTGTCAGCAGAGGAGGCAGTCAGTTTAATCAATATTAAATCTGAGATGTTTTCAGTTTTACCTAATATTTACTCAAACGTGTTTACTCAAATTAAGGTCTGAACATACTGTTATAATTTTAGTTTACAATGACATTGTTCCATATTCTTACCATCCAGACCTTCTGCTAGGAAGTCTTATCAGCTTTCCAAATGCTCTGAAGTTAATGGAAAGCAGGGCACAACAAGTTGTTTTAATGTTAGATACTATTCACAACATCTGGAAGCTCTCAGTAAAATACCAGTAGCAAAACATAATATAGCTATAAAGTATAAAATAAACAGTTAGAGAGAAACATCATGCCATACCTGAATATACTTAAAGTAAGCTCACCCAGCTGTTGATCTGCCTAGCAAAAATTAGTCATGTTTTTTTAAAAAGTGTCCAAGCTTCTAAAAATAATCTACGTTTTGCCAACAGCAGCAGTTTTCTACATTGTCCCACTGAGAATGCTTTTCAGGATGGTAATTATATGTGTCCAAGCTTGTCTATTTTTGCCTGGTATTGTATATAATGACAACAGATAACGGTGACTGCAATGGCTAAGAGCAGGACCCATGCATCCCATGACTATGAAATTCCTTCCTACTGCCCCAGAATCTCAGTTTACAGTTTTCAAAAATGATTTCCTAGCCTGTGTGGTTGCTAAGAACCATGAAATATGAACGGAGTAAACTAATGTAGTGTTGCCTGCTTAAGTCTGCCAGGAGCTTGAACATCTCTAAGCATGACCTGCCCTCTTCATTTCAGAGGGCCCTGTGAGCTCTACAATTTTACTGCCAAAGAACCTGGCATTTTCTAAGCTGTTATGGAATTTACATAGCTGCAGCTGGGCACCTGACCCTATTTTCTGTTGTTTGCCCTTCTGGGACCTGCCTACAGATGCCTCTTGCTGTCTAGCTTTCCTCATAACAAGGCTGTAATTGGATTACAGTGCATGCTCCCTGCACTGCTGCACTGAGCCAGATAATGGAAGAGCTAACTGCTGGCTACCAATCCAGATTGGGTACCGTTTGCTGACAGCACAGCAGCTGAGCTTTAAGAGTGCTACACCTGAGATGCTGAAAACAGCTACAAGTTTTCCTCTTCCCTGGCACCTGTGGAAACAGGTCTGGTCAGTGAAATAAAACAACCTGGAATCCCTGATACACAAAGATGATTAGGTGCTTATACCCAGCATTTAATGACCACTGTTCATCTGCTATGCAACTCTGCCACTGCCACTGAACAAGCGCAAAAGCTAACTCTCCCATGTGTTTTATGGGGAGCCTGGCTAGGAGCTACGTCCATTTGGCAGCTGGATACCTAGGAGTTAGGTTCTACAGACACTTATACATGTGCCTGATGCCTGCTCCAATGCATGCTAGTTAGCATGCTTCAGAGCAGACTTGATTCATCGAGTCTGCCAGTGTGTGCTAATTAGCACCCTCCAGCAGCTTGAGTGTCCCATATATTCAGCATCCCCACACTTCAAAATGGTGGTGGGGGTGCTTTCACTAAAGCTTGTTGAATGATTAAAGCCTAATTAAAGCCCTCCCCCCATTCTGGAGCATGTGTAAAGACACCCTATAGTGCCTAAGTATCTTTGAAGATGTAGCCCAAAGGCTTATGTTTCTAATCCCAGTTTAGATGTAACCCCATCATTTTGCACAGTATACTATGCACAAATTGAAACATGCAATTAGGTGAAAATTGCATCATTTCTTACTTCATGAGTGCAAGCAGGAGTCAGACTAATCTGCTGAAGATTTTTTCTTTACTGGAAAATAACATCTGGTTAAATGCCTATTGTTGTCTCTGAACACTGCTGAAAAATGTTCAAGTACAAAAATTAGGGAAAGGAAAATAAATATGATACTTACAAAACCACCTCATGTAACATAAGAATATTTGGATGTGGATTCAGACGCCTCAGAGCTTGTATTTCTCGCAGATTATTCACTTGTTCAATACTGAAGTATAATAATAATAATAATAAAAATAACGTGAATGGAAAACTATGACTCGGCCTCTTAAGTTATGGTATCTCACACTGTCATTCCTAGAGTTGTACAGCTCAGGTACTACCTGTTGCTATAGGTTATTGTTAAAAACATTATCTAAACCTGTGTGATCACTACTATTAAAACTGATTTAAAAAAAAAAAATAACAACTAGTGTGAAAACCTGATACAATATTTGATTAAACACATCTTTCAAGTGGCTAATTGTATCACTCACTCCTGGACTCAATTAAACATCAGAACTCATTACTACAGTAACACCTGTGAAAAAAAACATTGGGGGACCTGTAATTGCTTAGAACTGATAACTGCGTGATAGCAGATTTCTGTAAGCTGGGTTTTTTGTTTCATGCACTGATCGAGTTAGTCAAGAATCAAAATCTCTGTGTTCCAATATTAAACTAAGAAAAAAGGGTATTTTGTGAGGTCAAGGTCAGTTTACATTGCTGCTACCTGTAGCTACAAATTCACCCATCAGCAAAAGAGTAACCTCTGGGTAACTATCAAAGGATTGAAGACTATAGGGATGTTTGTTTTGACACTGTGTGGAACATGTCCTCAATCCCTGGGAAATACAGGATTAGTGGTGGTGTCTTAAATACAATAAACTGAGCACACATTGAAGAAATACAGGCAGTTGTCAACTTACAACGTTTCGAGTTACAGTGTTTTGCACTTACAACGTTTCTAAATTGACACCCTGTTTCAACTTTTTGACGTCAGTTTCGACTTTACAATGCTTGATCTGAACAGCAATAGAACAAGTTCGCTGTGTCACCCATCTCCCTGGAGAACATCAGTCCAAACTTCCTTGGACACTTCCTTTAAGAAAGCAGACAAGACTCCAGAAAAACCTGCGGCTAAAACTCCTGAGAAGACTCCAGCCAAGAACCCTTCAAAAGTCCAGCAAAGTCACCTCAAAAAGTCCTTCCAAATCAATATGATTGCTATTTACAATATAAATGCATTAATGTAGCTATATTACTCATCTATAATTGACTGAGTACAAAATTCTGGGGTATTTTTGGTGAAAATAGGGTATCAGGCCTTGGTTCAGGAACCAATCCCCCATTTATAACATTGTTTCTTATGAGAAAATTGGCTCCAAGTTACAACATTTCGACTTAAGATGAGGTTTTCAGGAACCAACTGTGTTGTAAGTCCAAGGACTGCCTGTAATTTACTTCTCTACAGTTAAAAACTACTTCAGAACAGGCATTTATTTTTATTAACCTGGCAACAGTCTAAACCATTAGTTTCTTATTTTAATACATCTAATTCAAAGCTACAATTGTACTAGAACCGACCGTAATTGAATAGATGTTTCTTTTGTACAGATATTTCACATTAGTATTTTTGAACAGTCTGAAACAAAGTTTTGATGAAAATACTTCATATTTCTTCTGAGAGAGACAGTACTTTTGGTTCTTCTATTCAATTAAAAAGTAGACTACAAACTTGGTTCATATTAGTGAGGCCAACCTTATTGACCAATGTGCCACAAATAAGCCAGTCCCTTTCACTTACCTGATCTGCTCAGTTTTCTGCTCCCTGACCAAGATGCTGCTGTGCTTTCTGCTTCTTGCCCTATGCTCCCTGCCTGATGTGATGCTCTGCTGTCTGGTTTCTGCCCTGTCTGCCACTGTTGCCTGTCCGTTACCCAATCTGCATAACATACACAGAGGCTGCCTGTGCCACTTGTAGCATCTGTGCCACAGGTTGGCCACCCCTGGTTTATATGAGGGCTATTTTGAGAATCAGTCAAGGTAGTATAATTTCCATCTATTTTATTTTCATCAATTGCAATATGCATAAACTAAAATATATACTGAAAAATCTGTTTCAGTTCCTTTTTATCTAGGTTATTAAATAAAAGGTCCCAGACTTTAAGAAGCAGAAATTGTGGAAAGAGTAACTCCAAAGTTGACCTCTGTATGAACTTGTTAAAAAAATCTATTGCTGGAATCCTGCCTCAGAAAATACCCTGCCAAATTCCAACTGTGAATAAATAGTAATAGTAGTGCTGTAGTAGTAATAATATGTGGTACATATTTTCAGAGTGTACTCCCACCACAATAATTATTATTATTATCATCAACATTATTATAGTGGAAGTACACTGAAAAAGTGACTGAAGCTTCACAACTGGTTTATATGGCAGGGCCAGCTGCCTCTTCTTAATAAGACTACATCCTGTTAAACAAAATCTGATCGTTGACTTTAGAGAAAAAAAAGGAAGCTCCAGTTTTGCACATATAAAAAGATAATAGCACCACCAACCTGGCATACTTCTCAAAGAAAGCATCTTTTTTGTCAAATATCCCTGCCCTACAGACCGCTTATGGATATATAACTTTATTTAGCATCTGTAATATTGATTAAGCTGAGAACTGCATATTATTCTATATCAAATACTGAGTGTATCCAAGTTGCACTAGGTGCAACTCAGGCATGGACCTCTGTTCATCTTTACAAATATATACATCATCTGCTAGCCAGATCTGCTGAGTTTATCTGCTCCCTTGGACCAACAGCTTCTCTTAAGTACAATACAGAATCTATTTTCAGGGGCTAAGCTGACGGAGGAAGTTTTTAGCTACAGCAAAGGATGATTTTTCCCCCTTAAATTCATTCTTTAATATTTGCAGAGCTTATTTGCTTCATAATCTCTTCTGCAACAGAACACAGTTGCACCTGAAACTTTTTAGAGCAATAGAGCCAATTTCATCCCACTGTTTCAAAGGTATAACTCTAATCGAAGTAAATAAGAAATTAAAGTTTAACTTGGACCAGAATTTTGCCTTTTGCCAACTGGTATGGGTGAGCCACAACAGCTTTGATTAAAATGCTGAATGTACAGATGTACTATGAATTCCATACCACATATTTTCTCATTAAAAAATAATTCCTTCTATGACTAATAGTGTCCACTGTCAGGGGATATAACCACATATGAATTAAAGGCAAGTAAATATTATGAAAAGGAACAAGGTGCATAAAAGGAGTAAAGATAACTACCATATATCTGACTCATACTAAAATAACTTTAAAGTGAAACTGACAGATTGTCAGCTAGGAAGTTCCTTTACACAATTTGCCTTTGCTAATATATTCATGGTGGAAAGAAAAATAGCTTTAGTGTGTTCAGACATCCTTCAGTTTTCCCTTTTGTTAAGAATGCAGTTTCAATATAAAATCCACATCAGTGAAGAGGTAAGAACAAATGTTATGTTAAAAAAGTAGTAATGAAAACCTCCAATCCTCTCTCTAATCTTGTCTCAATTAAGAGATGTCAAATTTACTATAGGGAGTACCATGAATGGGACTTCTCATGGTAGTGAGCACGACACCAGATAGTAAGTGGTTGTATGATCGGGCCTCCAGTTCTCCTTTCTTACAATAACTGTGAACAGATATCCAGAAACCTTTTTTAGTTTTAAATGTATATTTCCCCATTTCATTTGAACAAGATTTGCAGATTTTGGGCAACAGTATGATCAGCTATGCCTACCTTTCAAAATGCTGCTTCATTTGTTTGCATGCATAGAAATTTCCATCCCTAAGACTCTGTGTCTTCAGAACGTCGGAAAAGGTTCCCTCTCCTATTTTACCAATTGGTTTATATTCTAAAAATAAAAATATATCCATTTAAAGTCTAAAACTCAAAGTTATATTGAAAACAGTAAATAAGTTTATCTCTTGTTGATTTGTTAAAATCTGAAATATTTTCAACGTTATGCTTTTTGTTTGCACGTTAATCGTTTGAGAAAAAAATGAATTAGAACAAATTAGCATGACTGATGCTACTCATGGTTATATTATTGAGAATAAAATATAATCTCAGAGAGTAAGTGGGTACTTTCCTGTTCTGTACCCACATACCCCATGCAAAGGGCCAGGCAAAAATTCACATCTTATTTTGATGCCGTGTCTATTTCCCCATTCATACCCTCCAGATTTCTCTTTTGCACTGAATATTTACTTTCTGGATTATTTTTAAATAAGTGTATGTTGGCACTTTTCCATATCAGTTTGTAGCATAACAATAATCAGATTTAAAACATTACCTAAATGTTAAATTGCAGAGGATTTTCGATGTGGTCTTAAAAATAATGTTTTAGCGTAATACTGAATTGCACTTTATGGAAGGGACAGCCTGGTCCCACAGGACTTTAAATAGCATCAAGTTATAAAGTTTTCTTTATTTTTATTTATTCTTGAGCTTTTCCTTGTCTTCAACATAATTCATTTCTTTCTTCTTAGCTGTCTCAACATTGTGATCAGTGGTCCTACTCCCATTATACTGACAGTTCTTCAATTCATTTGTATCCTCCCGTCTCTCATGAAGGTTCAAAGTCCATCCTGGTTCTGTCCTTGATAGTCTCTACAATCTCATCATCTCATTTAGCTTCAGCAACCACCTTACAAGGAGGATTCACAAAACAGGGAACAAGGAGGTAGTACAGTGGCAAAGATCTTCTTCCTCCTCTCACACCTCTCTCACTACAGGAACCTTACACCGGTGGAGACCTACTACTTCTAGATGTAGCCAGGAAGTTCTGTAGGGAAATAAACTACTTAAAGCTCTTTCTACCCTTGAGCATCAGCTTTACATGTCAAATGCCGCTTAGCAATCAAAGTGCTACAACTTCATTTCTTTTCTTCTCTCAAAGCCTCACATTTTGTCTCAGTGGATGCTGTGTCTCATATTAACATAATTTAAAATCTTTCCTTACCTCATTACCCAAGTTCTCATGTACTTGTTTCTTGCTTATTGTAAAAACTGTCTTTATAAACTTTTTTCCTCCAACTTAATAGCAGTATTTTGGCTATTATCATAATCTCCAATACCATATTCCTCACTGATCACCTTTGTCATTTGCTCCTTATGCTCCTTCTAAGCCTCTCTCTTTAGGCAAGTGGTTCTCAACCTTTTTAGACTTGAGACTTTATTACTCTCTTTTTTATAATTTTTGTCCAGTTTAGATGGAAATATCTTACAAGGAACATGCCAGTTCATAAAATGCCATTTGGACTTCCTGATGCTATAGGTTTACCTGTTCATGAACTACTATACAAGTAAAAGCAGAATCAATACAGGAAGGTACCAAACCCTATCACAGACTCCAAAACAAAAATGATATAATGAAGTCACTAAATCCTGGTTACTGACTCTTGATAATCCTAATAAAACAGGTGACTTAGCTTGTTTAAACTTCAGTATTATAGAATTATAAAAAAAAAAAAAAAAAGCATCTCCAGCAACATTTTATCCAAATGTTATATAGTTGAGGCAATATTGAGGTGATGCTGTTACCATAATGATCCAGGAAATGTGCAAAAGGTAAAAATTCTTGTGGGTGATAGATTTGATTGAATTAGCTGCATGGTTGGGGTAGACCACTGGTCACCAACCAATGAATCTCGATCCACTGGTAGATCTTGGAGCCTCTTAGAATCAATCTGAGGCTGCAGTGGGGGGCTGAGAGCCTGCATGCATGCACACATGCAGTCAAGCCCAGCAGGTCAGTTTGTGGGGGAGAGCAGGGGCTAAATCGAGGCCCCTACGGTGAGGGACAATGCCACAGAGGCAGGAGCAGGGGTAAGTTGAGTGGAGCCCTGGCCGGGTGCAATTTACTTGCTGGGGAGGCGCGCCCCCAAATAATTTTTTCTCCCTCTGCCTTGATCCACCCCCCACACCCCTGACTTACCTGCTGGGCAGGGGATAGGTGGATGGAGGCAGCACATAGTAGATCTTAGGTTGCTTTTAAATGCCAAAGGTGATCTCCTACTTAAAAAGATTGGAGACCACTGGGGTAGACATAAGCAAGTTTTTGGGTATCACAGTACCTATCCTCAGGTCTCTGGGAGACAAGTAGATAACGTATTGCTTCATGGTATCTTTCTGCTCGAGGAAAAATCAGTTACTGGACTAGCATGGAGTGATTTAAATATTTTTAAGTCAGACTGGGAATTTATAGAACAGATTTGATAATTTGTGCTACTGATATCTTGCATTAAAATGTATAAAGAACAATTGTCAAGACTTAAAAATGCACTCATGATAAGGTCTCTTAGTTTAATTGAGGTCACTTTAATAAGCAAAAAACAAAATACTGAAAACTGAAGCTCAGATCTTGCAAACACATAAGATTTCTAACTGTATTTGACCTAGGTTTGATTCTGCTCCTATTCAAGTTAATGAAAGAATTCCCAGTTACTTGACTGGTGTGGGGTTACTTCAATGAGACTGTTCACATGCCTAAGTTAAACATATGCATATATTTTTGGAGAATCAGGAAGTAAAATGGCATTTTTATTGCACTTTTTCTCTTACTGGCATAAAATCATTGTTGCTTCAAAGCAATATTTCTTGTGGTAACAAAAATTAAAAAAAAGGAAAAAAAAAGTTCCAGAACAAACCTTACCAACCAAGATACTCCACAGTGGGAGTGTCTACACAAGATGTTTACTGCACAACTGATTAATTAGCTGCACAGGAAACAGTGTGTGTCTACACATGTGCCCCTATTAGGCTGGAGTAGATTAATTAACTCCACAGCAGGGTACTACTTATAAATACAAGTACTACCCTGCTGTGGAGTTTTTTTTACACTGCAGCGCATGTGTACACACTTCCCTGGCTGGCTGAGACACAAGGGTGCTTCAGTGCAGGGGCTGCCTGCTGGCTAGCCCCATACTGGTGCACCCTCGTGCCCCAGCCAGCCCCTCTGCAACACGTTGAGCCAGAGAGAGCAGCCCTGGGCTGCCAGGCTGACCCCCTTGGCTCCCTGCCAGCCAGTGCTGCTCTAACCCAGCTCCATGTGCTGTGCTCCTGGGCATGCATGCAGACATGATGCCCCGGTGCAATAAGCTCCAGAGTTTATTCATGCACACTAACAGTACATGTAAACGTATGTCCTTTTCCCTCCAGAGAAAGGATGAAAAAAAACAAACACCTGTTAATTATGTTGCTTAATGCACTGCCAGAAAGCACTCAGAAGGCACTGTAATGATAAATGAAGTATAATAACTTACATAGAACATTTGAAAAGGTATTTAGACTTTCCATTCATTTTACAAACTTATGGATTTATATGCAGACAGACCAAAATTTCAAGACTTCTTCAGGGATATGATTAGATAACTTGGGGTAAACAGTTTAAAAGGGACATGGATTTACCTCACATCAGCTGTTCTATATCAAGTGTTCTTACCCTGTAGTACAGGGAATGTCAAATTAATCTAGCCCCATAGGCTGTCCCTGAGCTGGTCTGTGGGCTGGACTGGGACAACTCTCTGTGCAGTGGTTGCACTGCTGGGTCCTGACCCCAGGTCATATGCAGCACATACTTGCCCTGGGGCCAACACAGGGCACATGTTGCCCGCTGCCCAAGGTGCATGGGTTAGACCAGAGGCGGGCAATTATTTTGGGCGGGGGGCCACTTACTGAGTTTTGGCAAGGCATCGAGGGCCACATGACAGGCAGCCCAGGGCAGATAAATATTAATTTTCTAAATTTTTTAGGGGCCCTGCAGGCCAGATAGAATGGCCTGGTGAGCCCCTGGGCCACATTTTGCCCACCCCTGGGTTAGACCAAATGTGTGCAGCCCAAGCTAGTGCCAGGTCCAGCCTGCATGCTACAGGCAGTGTGCACCCCGTGCTGGTCCTGGGTGGGGGCATGCTGCATGTGGGGTGGCTCAGCTGCACATACTGCATGGGACACAGGGAGCTGGCACAGAGCACACACTATGTATGGTGCCCTGCCAACTGGCTATGCATGCTAACTCCAGGTCCAACATGGCTCTATATGAAACACACACCCTGTGCAAGCCCCGTGCCATGTGCAGTTCACACTGGCCTCGGGGCCTGTTGTACACACAGCTGCTAGGGCTGGCACAGAGTGCATGCTGCTAGCAGTGCATGGGATGGACTTGACACTGAATGTGGTATCAGGGTCTGGGGCTTTCTGTGGCACCCCAGGCCAACTCCCTGTGCTGCCTGCAGCACTGGATCCAGCCTGAACACTTGCATGGGGTTGGGTCAACAACCTACAGGTCTGATTTATGGGCCATGTGTTTGACACCCCTGCTGTAGTAGATGAAAAATAAACCACAGCAGAGGGCTAAATTGCTTTTATTTAACATCTACCATGTCATAAGCACATCCACATGAACAGTAGGGCTATGCAAAATGGCACCATTCTGTTTCAATTTGTATTTCGACGGAACAGCGTTTTGTTTCGATTCGCATTGTTTTGACACTGTTTCAATGTTTCGCCCATTGGCTATAATGGGGAAGCTTGAAACAGCCTCTCTCATCCGGCAGGCAGATTGGGGCCTGCAACCCCAGGAGGGCTGTGTGCCCACAATCTGACTGCCAGATGAAGGAGGGAAGCCAGGTGCCACTGCCTGGGACCAGTGCCAGCACGCCATCGGTCCCAGGCAGCAGCACCCAGCTTCTTTCATCTGGCAGGCAGACTGGGGGGCTGCAACCCCAGGAGGGCTGCGGGGGCTGTGCGATCAGGCTCAGTTCCCTTCCCCAGTGCTGCAATTGATTGGGCTGGGGAAGGGAACTCAGCCCAGCTGAGCTGAGTTCCCCTCCCCAGCACTATGATGGGGCTAGGAAAGGGAACTCACCTCCCCAGTGCTAGGGAGTAGCCGATCGTAGCACTGGGGAGGGGAACTCAGCCAGGCTGCTTCGAAACTTGAAATGTTTCAAAACTTTCGAAACATTTTGACTGCCCTCATTTTATTTCAAGGTCGTTTCGAAGACCTTCATTTTATTTCTCTGTTTTGAGCTCAAAATGAGTCGAAAGAGTGCCAAAAAAGAACAGCTAGAGAAATTTTGCACAGTCCTAATGAACAGTTACTGAAGTGCTGCTAACATGTAGTAAAATCCCTCCCCACTTTCACTTTTTGGTAACGAATTTGTCCGCCCACATCTTTAAACCTGTGTTTAGGTGTTGAAGGGTAGCATTTCCAGAAGAAGCCAAGTGGCTCTGAAACAAAACTCATTGATTTCACACATTAAAGTCTGATGAAAGAGAATAACCTGGTCACACCATTTCAGCTTTCTTGACTTACGGCTGTTCAATATACTGGAAGGTAGTATCAGTATAGTACACCAGTG